TCGCTGGCCAGCTTAATTTTGCGGTCGCGATACAATTGCATGAGTGACGATTAATTTCTCGTATTCGAAGCGTGCATGCAACAGCTCTGTTAACAAAGAGCAGCGAGCGTCCCGACACTGTGTGTCCTCGATGAGCGAGCGCCGATGTCAACATAAACACGCGGGCCGATTCAGTGTAATTTTTGATGGGCAATAAAAGATTCTGTTCGTGTTGTTAACAAGTGCTTTCGACTCGCTTATTCCATATTGCTTCCACTCACATTCTCGTAGATTAGTAGATCTATCGGTTGACTGACACCTGTTTCCCCATGCTCTCCGGATTACGCATTGAGCATAGATGATTACATTCGCCCTCTAATGAATCCGCGCGAATAACAATAATTAAACGGTATCCACCCCGTTACAGTTTATATAGTTATGTATTTGCTAACTTTAATAGTTGCTACACTTCCGGTGCTACTCATTTTCAACTTTTATTTAAAGTGGTCCAGTAACATTTTTTTAGTGAACTAATTTGTTAAAGAAATATAAGAATTAATCATTTTTTCACCAGTAGTTAATGAATTGATTCATGATATAATATTTAAAAATGTGTAACTGACATTAAAAATCTTTGGCTTTGAACCAAACGAATTTAACGTGACAGCTAATCATTCCATAATTTATAAAGAATCCAGGCTATTATTAACTATTAGCTAATAATAATGCAATTGCATTAACTATTGACAGGTAGTAAGAAATCTTTTTGAAACTGAATTAATAAATATTTTAACGTAAATGAAGCCTATTTCAAAGTACTCGAGTGGAACTTCGAGCCGAATCCCGCAATTATAAGCGCCCACTCTAAGTTCCACAGTGTTTTTCAACCCTTAAATAATCAAATGTGTCTTAAGGATGCATAAAATATAACTTTATATCCAATTATAATATGAATTCAGTGTAGAAGCGTTATCATTTCTAAAAAATTCCGATTTTATATTTATTATTATTAAAATAATCGCTCAATCGAATGCAATTTATCAAAAATTCAACCATCCTTCTGGTGTGTTATAAAAGAGCTCTTGAATAATTCACTCAGCCTTATCATAATCTTTATTTACACACTAATTAATATTGCAATTGATTGTGCATCTCAAGAGCAAGCGAAATCAGTCCTAAAGCATAATCATTTTAAATAGTATCCTAATTTTATAAGGGTTTAAAATTACTAAGTTTGAGCCATAACTTCAATTGGTGGATTATTTCCACATTCAACTTCCGCTTCCATACTTTCAAATACGTTCAAAGTTTCATTTTTATAAGAAGTATATACATAGGCTGTTTTATATCAACTCGCCCGAAAAAATTTTTTTCCGGAATAATATTCTACTGTGATTCCTAAGCATGTCTGTAGAATTTCAAATCTTGAAACACAAAATGGAATTTTTGGTAATTTTAAAAATAGCCAGTTTTTTAACTAATGAAAAATTTCAAATTTTCAAATCATAATTTAGGTGATTACATACATCATAATTTAAGTGATTGTATACATGGGACTTGATTAGGTGACGCGAGTGTGAATGGTCGCATGTGAGGAAGCTCCGTGGTATTTGTTTCTGTAATTGGATATTTCAGTGTTTGGTGTAACAATTTTAGTGTTTTATTGTAAAGCTGCGTGCGTTGATTGTAAAACGTGACCGCATGTGCCGTCGCACAGGGTGTGGATGTGAACTGTAGTGAAAAAAAAGTTGGGCGTACGTAGAAGTTAGGGCAGTTGGTTAGGTAGGTAGGAACTGGAAATTGCATAAATTGGCGAAAATGTATGGAAAAGTTGAGGAAAAGGAAGATAGAAAAGTTATAGGCACTAAGAGAAGAAGCGATAGAGGTGAGAAAAGGGAGATGAGTGCGTGTAAAAAAAACATTAGTAGCATTGCGGAATCCAGGGGGAAGGGGGAACTAAAACTCTAGAGAGTCAAAGCGTGAAAATGCCGGCGGGAATAAACAGGTGTCGAATACAGAGAGTTTTGCGAAGGTAGTGAAATTTGATAATAAAGAAAAAGTATTAGAATGCCGAGGATACGAAGGTTTAAGGTTAAAGATAGGAGAATTGGAAGAAGCTATGAATAAGGAGAGGAAGGCGCTTATTGAAGAAAGGGCAAGTATAAAAGAAAGAATGGAGACGGAACTTAAAAAGATTAGGCAAGAAAACGTTACGGAAGAAAAAATAAAGTAAGGATTGAAGCATTGGAAATAGATTTAAATAAAAAATGGAGAGACTGGAAAACGAATGGCTAGAATTTAGGTTAAAAATGTGTGTTAGATTAGATGAGTTCGAAAAGTTAGTCGGTAATACAGTTTCCTCGCGCAAAACAAATAATTTAAGAAACGAAGGCAGTATAGGTAGTAGTATAGGGACGATAGGAGTACAAGGTAGATCGGTAAATGGGGAAACGAAATCGGTGCCTGGTTCAAGTTGTCTCTTGGAATTCGAGATAGGCGTAATGAGAAGGTTAGTTAAATGGCAGGATGAGATGGATAGGCTAGATAACATGGTTTTTAGAGGCTTGTCTCTAATCGGCGAATGGCGTATTGGTTTAAATATGTTTATCAAAGAATATTAGGCGTTGAGGTGAAGATATTACAGGTAAGGAAAAGCGGTAGTGTATATATAGCGAGATGTGGAAATAAGGAAAACAGAGATTTGATTTGGAAGAACAAATACAAACTAAAGGGTTGGATGATTTTCATTGAAAATGACCTCAGTTACCAGGATAGGAAAAGGAGAGAAAGTTTTTGGTATCCCAAGGTCTTCTTCTAGTTCTCGCACAGTCATACGACGATCTTGTTCGATTGCAAGTCGCACCCGCTCAAAATTATCTGTGGTTTTTGTCGTCGAAGGTCGGCTGGAACAAGAATGACTATCGACAGAAGTGCGACTATCCTTGAACCGTTTATACCACTCTTTTATTCGTGTTTTGCTCATACACTCGCTTCCGAAGGCCTTTTACATCATTTCAATAGTTTTCGAACTCGTTTTTCCGAGTTGAAAGCAATATTTGATGCAAATTCGTTGATCGTGTTTTTCAGTCATTTTTGACAATATCAAAATCCGACGAACGCGAAAAAGGCACTGTAAACAAAGACACGCTGCGCATGGACTATACGTCCGGCAGGTGTCAGTAATTAACCAATAGATTCGTGAGGCTTTACTGTTGACGTTTCTGTCCGGTAGAGGTCGCTCGAACACTATGGTGCGAAGATATATAGTATACGTAGGCCCGATACTTTCCGGACAGACCTCGTATATGTATAGAGTATATATGTATTTCACGTAGTAAGTAGTATGTGTGAATTTCGGTGGTTTTGGGCTATGAGTGGTAAGTACTTGTTTCGTTAAGCTAGGGTATTATATGTAAACCAAGGCCTTTTTCTAGGCCTGTATATATCTCTATATCAAAATTAAAATTGTTCCATACTTTGAAAAAATTGCCATTTTTAAAACTCTGACAAAATTTTAATTTGAAGTTGTAAGATCTGAAATTGTACACATATACTCAGAAGTCATACAGTAGAAGATTATAAAAATAAATTAAAAAATATTTTGATCGCGTGTGTTGACGTGAAACTGCCTATATGTATACATGGATATTTGATGGAATGTTTCAGATGACTACATTACAACGGTACAGGAAAAATGTGAATGAAATTGAATACTTAACGGATCCATGTGATACAGAAAAGTTAAAAATAAGTAGGAAAAGACGAAATAAGAAATCTGTATCAAGTGATTATGTAGTACCTACAAAACGTCACATATTGAACAAATACGGTGTAAACATTCAGAGGCCAGTGATGACAATGACGATTGCAATTAAGAAGATCCTTTCGATATAGAGAAATCTGCAATTTTGCAACAAGAAATACCAGTCAAACTGAATTTTTGTTCAAGTTCTCAGAATTCGTTGACAAGGGATGATGCAAAATACACCGTCCTTGCAAAAAATGTATGTTAAATGAAATATTCTTAACATTTATTTTTATTTCACCTAAGGTAGGTGTACCCTATATGAGACTATAGTCAAATTTCAAACTTCTGTACTTTATTACCGTACCAGCTTGTGGTATTACATTCATACGATCAAATAATGATACGTCCATGGATTTTTCAACAATACTCAAATGCAAAATCCGGTTTGTAGCAGACATTTTATGCTTAAACGAGCAAATTTTCCAACTGAATCGGTTGTTCTTTCAACTAATAAATGTCATTTGAACCACTTTACTCAATCCGACCATCAGTACATAATACACCACTAGATTCGTCATGTTTCGACCTTTCAGAATTACTTCTTCATTTCTTCGTACTTCACAAATAAGCCTGATACCGTGCCAAGTACTATTTTAGAAAAAAAATCTAATACTAGGCGATGTATTAACTTAAAAATAATACTTCTACAAATATTTAAGGATGATATTTTTTCTGAATATTTTCACTACATCTGATTATTATGTGCAACGCGTAGTTTACGTAACGAAAAATATCTGTTCCCGCAGTATTCATATTGAATACACTTGTTTTGCATGCTTAAAAAAAGAGGGTAGATTCGACAAGCTATAATTCAGGCTACACATCATTAAAATCAACAAGCGACAGCTCATTTCAAAGCTCTGTCCATAAGCATTCAAATGAGTTATATCACCCCGATAAATTCTAGCGTGGTCATGAGTTACAGCTATTTGAACATAGTTTTCTCATATTTGATACACCTATCTTATTTATAATATGAAAAATGCGTTTGTTTTATAAAATTTTTACTGTTTTTAGATGTCTTAGGAAAGTCACTATCTAAGAAGCTAGAAAACAATGAAAAAATGTTAAAAAATCAAAGAAGGCATACTTCATTAGAATATTGTTCTGTTTCTAAAGAATAATCACGAATATTCCATGTATTTTCTAATCGATGTTAATAATAATAATACAAATGAAAGATAAAAGAAGTAGAAGCAAAATTACTGGATAAGAAATTTGCAAAGATTATGGTAAGTATTTTGCTGTAAGTCGCGTTATTATTGTAATGCCGTATTTTAGAAAGTAATTCAATAAGGTACGCTCGTCGAAAATTAATTCTGTCCACTACTTGAATTGTTAGATGGGCTCCCTATAAATAAATTTAAATGGGTAGACAGAACTCATCTCCGTCCAGTGTACTTATCCTTCAACGTTAGCGGCAATGAAAATTGTTTATAACACCGACAGAAATGCATTAAAAAAGTTAGAACCCGCTAAAATATCCACCTATATACTTTTATTATAAATATCTCTAAATATCTGAATAGGATAGTTCCCGTGTATCTGGCGAGACGTAACAATCACAATAATAAAAGTATTAAAGTAATGAATGTAAAGTATTAAGTAATGAATTCATATTTATTACTGTATTTGATACACTGTATTCATACACTGTATTCATAACTATACATTTGATTTTTCGTTATTAGTTTGTTCAAAATTATTCATTTTTCTAATAACATTTTTATAACACTATAACCATCATCAGTTCACATATTTTTCATGGTGTATTGGCTATTATTATAAAAAGTATCGAACGGAACTAACATAAAATTTATCATTTAAACAAATCATAAGGGAATTAAGACAGTATGTTACGTTGATTTTTTACCTATGCAACTTTAACCATTGTATGAATTGTATATTAGGTGTGTTCAAAAAGTAAGGTATCTGTTTATTTTTATGAAAAGATACTTATTTATTTATTAATATTCATGTGTGTGTGTGATTGTGTATGTGGTCCCCCTCAGATATAATACACTTATGCCAACTTCTTTTTCAATCCTTGAAGCACTTTTGATATAAAAGACTTTTTGTATAGTCTTAAGCTTCTCCAGCAATGCAGTTTTTATCACCTCAATCGTTGCGAATCTGCTATCTTTCACAGGTTCCTCCAGTTATGGGAAAAGAAAAAGTCGTAGGGGGCCGACATCCGGTGAACATGTGGTATGATTATAGTGTTGTTTTTGGCCAAAAATTCTCTCAAAAACAACAATGAGTAAGCAGGTGAATTGTCATGATGCAAAACCATGATTTGTTTTTCGACAATTCCGATCGTGTTCTTCATATTGCTTATCGTAAACGGCGTGTAACTTGAAGTTAATAATCCGCATTGACGTTCGACCTTGTCCAAAGCGTTTTCCTTCACTGCTCCACCATTTTCATCTGTTGTTGACGTGCTGGATGCTCGAGAACGTAGTTCGTAATTGGCATCTTCTCAGCCATATTGGAAGAGTGTATTACTTATAAATATTTTTTTACGTAGAATATACTTGCCGTAGCCACTATCAACATTTCAAGTATTTTGAAGTACATCATTTTGTTTTTCACACAAAATTTAATGCAAATTCTTTGATCCATTTTTTTCAGCTGCAGAAAATCGTCCAATAGTCAAAACACTTCTAACCTTTTTTCTTTCATAAACAAACAAAAAGTAGACATCGCTGGAACTGTGCACATATAGTATGTTTAGGATATGTGTAGCAACAGAGCAAAACAAAAAAATCAAAAATTAATCGTACGTTTACCGCTAAATTTAACAAGTCATATTACTTTTTGAACACACCTCGTATAAAGAACTTCACAAATATCTTATAATCCTCATACTTATGATGCTTTACAATGGATTTATAAATTAATTAAATATTTATATTAAATTCGTTTAAAATGATTCTGGTAAAAGGTATTCTATTTTATTTTGATTTTCAATCAAATGAAATATGATATATGAGCAGTTTAACGAAAAAAATCCATTAATTCGAAACGATTTTTGTCGAACGCTGAAATAGTGTATAAGGAAATGTATGAGGTGCACGCTCTTAATTTTTCTATATTATTATTCTTCAAGGTCTGTCCCATCTGAAAATCATTTAATTTATCATCGCGCTGTCTTGTGACAATATTTAAATTAACCCAAATATACACTACCGTCCATAAAGATTTGCCATCCCCTTGCTGAAATCATCAAAACTTTAGAGTTTTATGGCTCAGTTTCTATAAGAGCTAGAAAATCCTGCGGGGTCTCATTTGAAAGGTCTTGCCAAGACCTTTCAAATGTTGTAAAACATAATTGATTTTATTTGTTTTTTGTACAACTTGTGACGTATAAACAAATTGTTTTTTTTTAATTTTTTCAAGTCCGATTTATTTATATAACGGATTCTACGATGGAAAAACTGTATAAGCCATTCGATAGAGCTCTCAAAAAGCTACAAATCCATATCCGGAAAATTTTTTTACCTTTATTTTTTATGAGCTATATGGTGTTTTATACAAAAACAAAGATTTTCAAAAAATGGGCTGTATTTTTTTTATTTTCAACTCTAAAGAAAAAACTCTCAGAAGAAAAAATGTAGTATTTTGCAAGAGCTATCAAATGCGCCACTCAAAATTAAAAAAAAAATTTTTTTTTTTCACGTTTTTTAGAGTTGAAATTTTTCTAGAAATAAAATGAAATTACATGTATTTAATAAAATTAGTAAATAACTAGTATTTATAACTGAATGGGCTTACAAACAATGATAACAAGATACATTTATTGTATTCGACGTTTGTAACAGAGGAATTAGCATTGTTTTCATTTTGAATGATTATCTACAGTATTGTGCTAACCGATAATCACTGCGATAATCACTGAGTGTTTACGTGGTTTGATTTACTTGACTTTCATGAATGTATACATATAGCAGAGAATACGTATGGAAATTCAGTCTCTTATCAGCTTTAATGAGTGAAATATCAATGTGTCCAATCTAGTCAGTAAATTATGCATGTATTTTTTGTTCATTAAAAATGACGAAAAAAAGAAACTTAAGCATTGAAGAGCGATCTGAGATAGTAGCCTTGCATAAAGTGAATAAAAGTAATAATGAAATTTCCAAAATTTTGAATATTCCAAGAAGAACAGTTGATTATAACATTAAAAAATTCATAACTCAAAGAAATATCAAAAACAAAAAAATTTCAGGAAGGCCTAGGAAAACTACGAGCGCTACTGATAAACACATTTGTAGTACAAGTACACATAATCCAAGACTCACGGCATCTGAACTTGCTGTTGAAACTCAAAAAGCGTATGATGTTAAACTTAGTGTTACTACGATAAAGAAACGACTTCATGAAGATGGACTATACGGTCGAATAGCAATTAAAAAGCCTTTACTAAAACCGATTAATAAAAAGAAACGATTGGCTTGGGCCAGAAAACATAAAATTTGGACCATTGATGATTGGAAAAAAGTTTTGTAGTCTGATGAGAGCAAATTCGAGGTTTTTGGTAGTAAACGCAGATCTTTTGTACGGAGAAAAAATAAGCAAAAACATTTAGAGAAAAATATGTGTGCTTCGGTTAAACATGATGGCGGCTCAGTAATGGTATGAGGTTGTTTTGGTGGTTCTAAGGTTGGTGACCTTCTTAAAATTGATGGCAAGTTGAAAAAAGAAGGTTACAAAAAAATTCTTGAAAAAAATGTTGTATCTTCCGGAACAAGAATAATTGTTCGCAAATTTACGTTCCAACAAGATAACGACCCAAAGCATACTTCAAAGTTATGTAAAAGTTATCTTGCTCAATTGGATAAGAAAAAAAAATTAGTTGTGATGGAATGGCCACCGTACTCTCCTGATCTTAACCCTATCGAACTATTGTGGGATAATCTAGATAGAGCTGTAAGGAAGGTAGGACCTACTTCCCAGAAGGATCTTTGGAATATCTTAGAAAATGAGTGGAAAAAAATAAGTGCAGAAACTTTAGAGAAACTTGTAGCACGAATGCCTCGAATTTGTAAAGTAGTTATAGCAAACAAAGGTGGACATTTCGATGAAAAAAACGTTTAAATAATTAGTATTGTTTCGTTTTTGTTTACAACTGAAATTTATATTCAGATTGTGATAGTATATTAATTACAAGCGTTATTAATATTATAAAAAATGAAATTATTATTATTATGTTATTATTGAAACGTTGTAATAAATAAATTTTGTAGAAAAATTGTAACCAAATTATGTTAATCTATTCTGAGTAAGTAATAAATTATGGTTCAATAAGGTTTGTAAGCCCATTCAGTTATAAATACTAGTTACTTACTAATTTTATTAAATATATGTAATTTCAGTTTTTTTCTAGAAAAATTTCAATGCTAAAGAACGTGAAAAAAAAAATTTTTTTTTTTTAAATTCTGAGTGGCGCATTTGATAGCTCTTGCAAAATACTACATTTTTTCTTCTGAGAATTTTTTCTTTAGAGTTGAAAATAAAAAAAATACAGCCCATTTTTTGAAAATCTTTGTTTTTGTATAAAACACCATATAGCTCATAAAAAATAAAGGTAAAAAAATTTTCCGGATATATATTTTGTAGCTCTATCGAATGGCTTATACAGTTTTTCCATCGTAGAATCCGTTATATAAATAAATCAGGGTCGAAGTTGATGTGAAAAAATTTAAAAAAAGCATTTTGTTTATGACGTCACAAGTTGTACAAAAAACAAATAAAATCAATTATGTTTTACAACATTTGAAAGGTCTTGGCAAGACCTTTCAAATGAGACCCCGCAGGATTTTCTAGCTCTTATAGAAACTGAGCCATTAAACTCTAAAGTTTTGATGATTTCAGCAAGGGGATGGCAAATCTTTATGGACGGTAGTGTATATTAACGTAATTCTGATAGTTGATTTCCTTGGAAAATTTTATTGTCTAAAATTTTTATTATTAAAAACAAACTTCATTGAAATTCACATTTTGTCCCCCAGTATTCGTTATCTTCCCGTGTGACGTCATAATTGAAAATGTTCTATGTTGATATAAAGAGGGGCGAGGATTTTTCGACCGGGCTAGGAAGATAAATATTCAAAAGAAGAACGCAGTTCGTGCAAATAGTATTATAGTGCAAAGCCAAAACCATGAAATGCTGCACAATCAAAATTGGGCCAAGAAAGAAAACTATTTTGCTTCATAAAGATACTACTACGAT